ACAAAAAGTCGACCTCGAAGGTTAAAATGAAAAATGAGTGTAATTAAGGCTTACAATCCCACTGAAGCAAAAATGGTAATAAATGTTTGCTTGAAAAGAATGATATACGTTACCAGTGAAAAATATATCATACGAAAAAACACTTTTCGGTCTTGTCAACTTAACTACATAATAATAACAATACGTTATTCTCAAATGGCATTTGTTACATGATTCATGCCAGTTTACAGGCAAGACCAAATTGTTACAAAATTTACAATTTTCGCTGTAGTAAATTACTCAGCTGGGTTGATATTTTATAAGATATGAATGTAGATGGTTTTAGTAAGAATCGCATCGTCAGTATCACAGTTAGCGCGCCTTATGAAAGTTGCGTCGCGGCGTGCAACGGATGGTCGAGGATAGATCTGTAGTGACTCACATTTATCACGAGAACACGACTGGTTTAATAAAAACAATTATTATTATAACCAACTGTACCAGTGTTTGTTTTAACGTGCTTTTGTTTGACTGTGCTAATGACAGCTATATTGTGCTTCCATTCCTATTCTTACACTTTGATTGTAACTTCGCGCGAATCCGGTCACGTTCTGTAACCAAGCTTCTATCCTGGCACGATCTTGGTATCCTTTCGATGCCACGAGATCGCCAGCGAATATATCTCGATTTGGTCCATTAATTGCCTTCTGATATTTGGCTTCTCGGGGATTTTATGGATTTATTTGGTTACGTCCAACCTTCGCCTTCTGATTAACTTGGCACGTGTTTTTTGGTAGCGGTGTTCATAGTCAATCTCGACTCGACGCCACGCTACAGATCCATGTGAAGTTGGGGTCTCCTAGAAACCGCAACCTTATATCCCTGTGGAAAATCTGAGGCTTTGATGATGATGCAGGACGGAGTCTCTGGTTCCATATCTGTTTTCAGTGGCACATCTCAAGGGGGCTGAAAAAGAGCGTAAGAAAAAGAAAGGACGAGAAGCAGATCAGGCAATGTTCATGAAGGAATAGTTAAGGTTGGAATACTCAGTCTAATTCTCTTTTATCAAGGTACTTATTAAGCAAGAGCATTCTAATATTTTAAAGAAAATAAGTGTAAATAAGGTATGAGTGAATAAAAAACTGCACAAATGAAGGTGGTTCAGAACGAAGCTCAAAGTATGGGATTATGTGTAGTTAAAAAATATAGTGCTGAAAACAGTATTCTGATACACAAATGAGCCCATCGACATACCAATTGATATTGATCTTGGCCTTACTCATATAATAATACCTGAAAGTCAAAGAAACTTGACACTCTAGCTCTAACTGGTCTTCCTTTTTTTCATCTGCTATTCACTGAAATACCTTGGCAAGTATCCAGTAGTAAACTACTTATTATGGTGATCAAGCGTACTCAATGTGACCATTGATAAACATCTACTTTTACCCCATAGGTTCAAAGGTGGAGATAGCCTTTGATCACGTCTATCTTCAACTAAATATGTTACAAGCGAAACTTCAATCATTACTATGTGGGATGCAGAAACGGGCTGATTGGTTGACATTGACGCTTCAATCTCAGGAGCATAGTTTAAATTTAAAGGTGCATTTATTTCCATGGTGTTCATTTTTATGCCATAAATAATTCCATATATACTTACTGACCATCCACCACGAGCAGTTAAGGGGGACAGGAAACCTTTTGGGTACAGATAAAAAGTCTGAAACCCATTCGTATTTACGGGCTCTAACAATTTCATATGCACTGATGGTAAGACCATGGACGTATATACAGCTTGATAAGTAAATATACGCTATTCTCAGGGAAGCATCCAGTCCAGAATTCCCTGAATAGCCTCAAATGGTTTTTCCCATGCGTGGAAAGGTAAGTACAGCAAAGTGCTTAAGTCCAACAACTTCTGCACAGGGATGATCCACTGACAATTGTAGGCGATTTTGATAAGGTCTCGATAAAATAATTCGAGCAAAGGTTTTCTGTTGACGACGATGAAATACTATCCACTGTTTCCACGGATGGACCCTGTACTTAGTGAGAACGACACCATCTCACAACTTTTAAGGATCGTAGTCGTGAAAACGTTCCTGTAACGCTAATGATATAAATACGGGAAATACTGCAGCTCCGCGGCATATAATTGCCGTAACACTCACAATAGTACTCGACTTTGTTTTGAAGCATCTCAAAATATCAAGCCTTGTTTATAATGACAGGGATAGACATTTGGTTAACAACTAAATCACAGTAATATCTACTAATATTTTAGTGGGAATAATGCAGTTTATTCGGGCTGTTGCTTTTCATAGTGTAAATAGGGGAAACATGGCTTTAAATAGGTCATTCATATTCAACTATCCGCCTTGGTTGCAGCAAAATACAGAATTTTTCCAGTGGGTTTAGGTGCTGTAGATCGCAATAGTTCTTTCTATGTCTCACCCCTGAGCTTTAATCAGGAAAGGATAACACTTTAGACTACTGAAAAACAATGTGAGAGAACATAATGCCCCGTCATATTGGAACTTGTGAAGACTTCATATACACAAGAGATTTTTCTAGCCCTACTATATTTTGACTTTCTTTAGATGGTTTGAAGTTTACAAACTCATCATGGAGGTTAGTCACGACGAAGCACTTGACCAAGAAATATGCTGTCTGAACTAATCTGCGAGAGTCATTCCAGTTGTCGAGGCTCCAGAAAAGAGTACTTGTCGGAAGACTAACTGAGTGAAAAGTAAGAGATCTGTAGTTCATGAAGAGGATGGGTTCTTCGCCACCAACAATGTTAGATGTACCGTATAGCAAAATGCATGATGAAGAGTCTATAGTGGCATTGGACAATAACCACACAATCCACAAAGCTGAACACAAGACTACTCAGAAAATAGATATTCAATATTTAACGCGGAGAAATACCTAACGATGGAGAAGGCGCGAACAATGAATTGAATGAATTAGATTTGATTGAATGGCATGGCTCGGCCATGCAGGCGTGGTCCCTGCTGAATGTTACCTTATGTCTTCTATTCATATTGAATATATTGTTCTTTCACTAGCCTAACCTTGTTCTACATCATGTATTGGTAATTGATACGATACAGTGAGTTGGTGTAGTCGATGGTGTGACTTCCACGTAAGATCTTATAGATTATGCAGTTATATCATGACAAATCTACAAATTTAGGATTAGGTCTATTATTAGAGCAGTACTAATATCCTAGTAGTCCATAATTCCACAAGTCCCCTGCTGTGAGTTGTATTACTCGATTCACTACTTTACAACTGTCTCGAGACTAATTTCGTGGGTTGCTGATGATATTGATGAATTTCGTACCGTCACGAAGCTGGTCTGTTAAAGGTCTTGTGAGAAATGGGCTATTCGACATTCAACGTCGTAAAAATCTTACCTGTTCGTTGAACGTATGCAAATGCTTCAATGTGGTTGGTTCTGAATAATCCAGAACAACCGCAACTTTGTTTCACAGATGGTGAATGCCTTGATCATCCATGGTTTGACCGAGAAAATCCAGAAGTTGGTCTGATTTGATGCTTTAAATGTTTACAGTGATTCCCTGTTTTTGCAGTTGTTACTATACGAGGACTAGATGCTAGAGATAAACTCTGCCTTTCGGACTTGCACCCAGACCGTCATCGGCATAATGGTAAATGAAGTCTAGACCCAAGAATATGACATTTATGAACCTTTGGGAAGTTTCCTTAGTGATCCTTAAAGCAGAAGGCATGCGAAAACGTTTGTAGAGTCCAAAGGGGGTTAATATAAATGTTCTAGGAATGTTATCTGCAGCCATTAGAATTCAAAAGTGTTTTAGGTAGTGCCTTCACTCGCAACACATATATATATATACCTTTGTATACTAACCCAGTCAAATCAGAAGGGAGAAATGAAGGAGTTTGAACATATACTTAGAAAATTGTCTATATGTTGAGAAACGTTTGATCTAAGCCGTCTAGTATTTGCAAATGCTGCGTAGCAGTGTGTTTAGTGGTATCTGGTATAGCTGCACAATCGAGCACTTTCATCTAGGGTGTCCAGTAAAATTACTGAGAGTAGCATCAATATCGATGATTTACAGAACTGGGGGTTTGTGGAGATTGTAGTAATGTTAAAAGTTAAATTCATGAGTCGATCTAGGCCAGAGCATCATTGAAAACCTGGATTCACTTGACGGATGTTTCACCCTTGTACAGGGCTCCTCAACAGTGACCATCCACGGTCTTACACTCGGGACTGGAACTCAGAACCTTCGGTCTCGCGAGCAAACACTTAACCTTCAGACCACTGAGTCGCATCCATTGGTGTTAATGTCTGACCTCAATCGATAAATGATCTTGCGCGACCATTCATCAGTTGTCTTACATGAACACCTGTCTCTACCAAACACTAATTGGGATCCACCTGTCACAGTTTACATTAGAACTCAAGGAGATCGATCCTCAAGCCACTCACTAGTGAGCACATGATGGTTATTATCAGAATGGAAATACCTAGAGACTGAATTACTTCATGCAGGATCGTGGATGCGCATTGGTGGGGAGTTTCATACTAGGACGAAATGGCCGTCCAGTGGTTTCGGATTTTCAGTGGTGAACTAGCTTAGATAGACTCATGAATTTAACCACTTAACTTACAGAACTATGTTTTGGGGATTTATTGACCGATACAGTAGCCAAAATAGAAGTTAATAATGTAGGGATTTAAAGACATACTTGGAATACCGTCGATATTTCGAGAATTATATGAGCTAAGATAATTCGTTGATGCTAAGAATGCGCGGCACGTTTTACCCGCTACAATTTCAGCCCCCAAATATCTGTGGAATTCACCACGATAGGCAGAACCAAGTAGTAAAATTACCTTTATTGGATGCTGCTGAACACACAGACGAAGAAATTAACACAAAGACTCGACTTCAAAAATATTAGTTGGTGTACACTTGGTAGTCATGTCGATATTGGACACTGAAGGTAGTAGATGGATATTACAGATCCTTGGTATTGGCGGGTTAATCGATGAGGTTAGGTCGCCTTTTTTTATTTCGGAGTATATTTCAACGAATAGGTCTAGTGGCCCTTGTAGATATATTGTAAAGACTTACTATCCAGTACCTCAGGCCGGTAAATAGGCACGGAATTTTTAAATACATAACTATTTCTAGTACTTAAGATTGATCAAATTAAGTCATTTGAATGCAGCTTCTCGATACGACTATTCGAAGTGCTTGGATCTAGTTAACTGTAAATAACCAGTTTAGTTGACGCCCTAGCCGCGAAGATTTTGAAACTGTTCTGGTTAGATTCCTTGGGATTGAGAATTTGCAAGTGATCCAATCTTGCAAGATTGGTCGAGACTCATGAACTAAACTAGCTGAATGAAGTGAAGTAAGTAAAAACTAGTTGGCCAAAAGTGTCGGTAATTGCGTCGTGTAACAGTTGATGACTATAGAAAAGTATGGATGCCTAATGAAAAAGTATATAATAGTCAACTAAAAGTGGTTTGAGAGCCAAATTTGGTTTAATATCGGTAGAGTATTCGTGACAAAAGGTCATGATATTGTTGAAAATAATATTTATTAATTGTAAGTTCATCTTCAAAGGTTTAAAAATGCGTTGGTGATGAAATGTTTGTCTGGAGAACTACGCAACACAGATTTTGGGGATTTTTTCCAAAATTCAGTTTCAGTTTGGGAAGGACAGGAGGCCTGATGGGCTGTGTTAATCCTGGCCACGGTGGTCCCTCAGTTGATCCAACTTTCTTTTGAAAGAATCGACAGATGGAGCCTTAACCACGTGCTGAGGTAACGAGTTCCACTCGTTGATGATTCGATGGAAAAGTCGATAGTCAGCTGACAAGTAATTTGTTCTTGGTTTGTGAACTTTTTTGGAGTGTTCTCGTGAATTCTCTGTTTTGGGAGATAAAAAAATCAGGGCATATCAGGTGCAAATTTGGCGCTAAGCAATTTGAAAACTGTAATCAAGTCGCCTTTCTCCCCCTCGAAATGCAAAATGTTGCTTCAGGATTGGGTTGCATCGACACCCGAACTAATGATAGGGAGTGAAGTAATTGAGCGTGTCGATCGCTTCACTTATCTTGGAAGTCTCATCAGCCCTTGTGGTCTGGTGTGTGACGAAATCTCAGCACGGATACAGAAGGCTCGACTAGCTTTTACCAACTTGCTTCATTAATGGCGTAGGGGAGATATCCGTCTATCAACCAAAGGACGTGTTTACTGCGCAGCAGTTCGTTCCGTCCTACTTTATGGCAGTGAGACATGGCCGGTAAAAGTAGAGGATATCCGTAGGTTACTAGTATTTGATCATAGGTGTCTTCGAAATATTGCTCGTATATCCTGGGACCATCGAGTAAGTAATACAGTTGTTAGGAAACAGGTACTAGGTAAGGATGGCAAATCAATTGATGATGTAGTGAAACTTCGTCAGTTGAGATGGCTGGGACACGTGTTACGTATACCCAACCACCGACTGCCTCGATGTGCGATGTTTGTTGTATAGGAGTAGGTTGGAAGAAAGCTAGGAGCGGCCAGACCAAAACATGGCACAAGTCCATGAAGTCACTGACAAGTGGACTGAGTCATGTTGGTAAGTGTAGACTAGCTGGTTGGGGACCGCGAGATGATGGCAATCGACGGTTAGAGACCCTGAATGACATGGCTCAAAATCGTTTGCAATGGCGCAGGTACATCCACTCTTTGTGTTCTCCCAAATGTTGATCTCCTTATTCCTCCTTGTCTCTTTTTTTTTCTTTCAAATTTATTTCACTGTATTATACTCTTTAAATAACATCTCCAAACACTAATTTTCCCGATAACTGCTTATACTCTTATTACTTCTACCACTACGGGATTTGAATCGACAGCTTCAATCTCTATGCTAACGTGGTGTGGCAACTCGAACTGATGTACGTACATACGAAGTTCTACGTTGTTACTGACTGACTGAAATCAAGTCGCCTCTAGTTCTGCGATATGACAACGGGAAAAGGTTCAGCTTGGCCAGTCGAGATTCATACGGAAGCTTCGCTATTCCGGGAATCAGCTTAGTCGCCGTTCTCTGAACCTTTTCCAGAAGCTCACTGTCTTTTTTAAGCAGGGGCTAGCCGCTTGTATGCAGTACTCAAGTTTAGGACTAACGAACACTGTATACAAAGTCAAAAACGTCTTAGCGTCGACATGACTAAAAGCCCTACGTATTGACCATAACGTTCTAAAACCTTTGGCGGCTATTGCACGGCAGTGTGCAGTAGTCTTTAAGTCTTGACTAACGATAACTCCTAAGTCATTATATGTCTGGACGACAGGTAGCTCAGTGTTATTCATCGTGTATGTATCTGTGCCTTGATGACCGATATGCATCACAACACACTTGGAAGTATTTATCGGCAACTGCCATGTTTGAGACCATTCAGATAACTTCTTCAGGTCATTTTGAAGTTCTAAGCTATCACTCTTACATCGTATCGTTCTCCATATCTTGACATCGTCAGCATATAGCAAGACCGATGATGATAGGAGACAAGGAAGGTCATTTACATACAAGAGGAATAGCACTGGCCCCAAAACTGTACCCTGGGGCACTCCACTAAGCACAGTTTCCCAGCTAGATAACTTTGAGTTCACCCATACTCTTTGTTGACGCCCAACTAAGAAGTCTTTTATCCACATCAATAAATTGCCTCCAATCCCGACATTTCTTAACTTATATAACAGCCGGTTGTGCGGAACTTTGTCAAAAGCTTTACTGAAATCAATGAAGGCGACGTCTACAGGTAGCTTTTGGTCCTTAAGAGCGCACCAGCTTTCACGAGCCACTAATAAGTTAGTGAGACAAGAATAACCTATTCTGAAGCCGTGCTGCTTCTCCGAGAGGATCCGGTTTTTATCGAGATACTTAAACAGCTCCTTCCGAATAATCTTTTCTAAGATTTTAACAACCACACTAGTTAGGCTAACGGGGCGGTAGTTCTCAGGTTTGTGTTTCGTACCTGTTTTGAAGACAGGACTTACTATGGCGTTTTTCCAGTCTTTCGGTAAACGACCCTGCGTAACGGATAGGTTAAAGCATGTACTTAAAGGGTTCGCAACGAAGTTAGATAATTCCTTCAGTAGCCTAGGATGTAATTCATCGGGCCCCGTGGATTTACCTATGTCAAGCTTATTTAGCAGACCAAAGACATCGAGTTCTTTAATGGTCACGCTATCCAGTGTATGTATGGGGGATCTGTATACGCTGACGGAAGGGTGCTTCTATGGTATACACGTTGCTAAAGTAGTTCGAGAACACTTGAGCCTTACCAAAGTCGTCCTCCACTAATGATGAAGCAGTACTGTCTCCCCATAGAGCAGGAATATTTCCTTTCTTTGTCCTTTGGTTTATATAGGAATACAAGCGTTTAGGACATTCTATGGATTCCTTAACAAGTTTTTCTTCGTACAATTTTCTAGACTTACGGAGGGTCGAGGCACAAGTATTCCGAGCCTTTCGATACTGAGATTTTGACTCATCAGTCCCCAGTAACCTAAATCTATCCCACATTTTTCTTTTCTTACGGAGAAGGATACGGACCTCCCTACTGAACCATGGTGGTGAGTTTTTCGGCCCCTTTGGTATAGTCCAAGGGATGTGAGGTGTGGTAACTTTTAAGTATGAATTTCGAAATGCGTCCCAGGCCGTTTCAATGGAGGACTCTGGGTCTATTGTCCAATCTATTAACGATGCTGAGTGCATGATGTCTGGTATGTTTGCTTTCCAGACGTTGGGTCTGGACTGGACTGACGCGTGCTCGTGACTGGCAGTTATATGGAAGTCGAAAGTTAAAACTGCGTGGTCACTTTTACCTAGGGTGGCATATGATGGAGGTTCGCAACATCATCCTCATAGTGAGTCAGTATAAGATCTAATAAGGATGATTCAGTGTCCGGATCGTACCTTGTCGCTTCTTTCACATGTTGCACTAGAGCACATGTGATAACCGCATCAACTAGTTCCTGCTCGAAGGAATTTTCTGACGATTCAGTTCGCAGATTTTCCCAGTCTACCATAGGTGCATTAAAGTCCCCTAGGATTAGACATCGACCACTTTGGGACCAAGTATTGAGACTGCTTAACAGGATCTCATTTGCCTCACAGCTTGGACTGCGATAGACCAAACCAATCAGCAGCTCTTGTCCCTTGCATTTTAAGCGAAGACTAACTAATTCACACGTCCCACTCTCATGGGATACACTGTCGATAATGGCAAATGGGATAGCATTCCTAATGAATAGAGCTACTCCCCCTCCTTTGCGCTTTTGTGTTCTGTCGGCCCTTACTAACGTAAAACCCTCGAAATCAAGTTCCATACTATCTATAGCCTGTGTCAGCCAGGTTTCTGTTACTGCGATTATGTCTGGCTTTGTAGAGTCAATCTGTACACCTAGTTCCGATCGCTTATTAAGTAAGCTTCGTGCATTGGTGTAACAGATCCGAAGCCTATTTAAGTGCCTTCGTGCTTCACCCAGAGTGGCTTCGGCATCATTCTCTGTCGAAGTCTTACAACCCGAAAATTTACAATTTTCAGGTCCTTTTCGCCAGCGTCTAACCTAAGTTGTAGTTCTTTCTCGGCTTCCCGTCTTTTAACACGGTCTGCCAACGGTAGGTCCTTTCGGATAAAGACTCCTGAACCCTTTAATTTGTGTCCATTTTGTAAAATTAGGTCACGTTCGTTCGAAGAGCCGAATACTACTTTAAGCAGTCTGGAATGATTTGGTTTCGAGTCCGCTAGACTCCCTAGTCTGTACACCTTTAGCAAGGTGACCCCGGTGATATTTTGAGGCATGAGTTGATTAAGCAGCTGCTTAATCAGTACAATGTCATGCTCAAAACGAGCTTTAGGTTCAGAGCTCTCGCTCTCCTTGATTCTATGAAAAATAGCTGATCTGTCGCTATGATCAGCTTTCGATTTTAAGACTACTTTCGCGGGGGTAGGATTACCTTTTATATCCCTACTTTTTTCTTCCTTACAACCTGTACCCATTCGTCAACGGTGCTGGTAGAAGCAACAACAGTTGCGTCAAACCTAGTGTTGGGTTCTGGGGGGTTGTCGACGACCTGAGAGGTCAGGTTATGTTTACCGCTTGAAACCGATCGAGCCTTGCGATTGCGGCTTCTAGGCGTTTCCTGTGGGATCCCATCTGGGAGACGGGGAACAGAAGAACCCACTTTCCTTGAGCTTTTGTTTAAAGCAGGCCCCTTTGGAGACTGCTTTTCCTTCTTTGACCGGCGTGAGTCATCTACTATCGAACTAACCTTAGTTTCCTTCATGTCGATTTGCGTGTCGACAGATCGAGTGCTGTTTGACGTGTTCCGACTACGCTTGCTAAAACACTTCTTTGCAGCATCAACCAGTGAGATGGCCTCGGTTAACAAGCTGTTTGCATCCGAACAGCACTGTTGACAAAGCCATACACAACCCTTCTTACTGAACCGTTTGAAAGCCGCAGGCGTTAAGTTCGTGCAAACTTCGTGGTACCAGCCTTTGCACTCGTCGCACTGCATGCCGCTTTCAACGGGATAACGACAACCCGGACGTTGGCAACTGCTTTTTTTACACTGTCCGGTCATTTAAAAGGAGTCCTTTTCAAAAAGGAATGAGATGCGATGATACTCAGAAACAAAAAATAATCAATGACCAAAAAGTGAAGAACTGTAGATTGTTAGGACCAAAAGTACTAACAGATACAATTGAAAATGAGGTACTCAAGAGTACCAACGACAAAACTAATTGAGAGAACGGTAAAAACGGTACTCTAGTCGAATACTTTAACTGAAATGAATTCAATTAAAGTGAAAACAGTAGTCTTGATACGTAATAAACGATCAAAACAATGAAATTTACTCAGCGAGGAAAAATACCACTGTCCTTTTTAAATAGCGCGCGGGAGATGGGGAAGACTAATCAAATCAGTACAAAACTTATTTGTCGTAACTAGTCAAATACACGAAACGATTGCTCAGTTTTCGCCCATCAATCTTCTACTGCTTGTTATGTTTAGCAGTAATGACTAAACGAGTATGATGGAGAATATTTCTTAGTGACAAGTACTCAACAGGGAATTTACTGATAGTTCATCTCATCATTAAGAAGGTTTCATATGACGTAACTAGTTGTAAGCTTGGTGATTGGCTAGATCATACTCTAATGAAGTATTTTACGTCTTTGAATTAAACTTTAGTTGTAACGTTATTTTGCACTGACTCTCCTAGTCCGCTCATATTCAAGTTTATCTCGTTAGCTTCCACTTCCTCTTTAGTCTGAAGTATGGTGGGTTTTAAATTGAAGCCGAAAATGAAAATTTACATCAGGATGTCACGAAGGTGTCAATGACGTTTAACTCATGAATCGAAGTCGTAACATAAACATTAGTGGGAACCAAATTTTAAGAAGTGTAATGTACAATAACGAGTGACAACAGAAAGTAATGGACTTTTGCTAATATCAGAAATAAAGATGTGAAGGTAAACAATCAATGAATGCATTTGGGCCAAATTACGTAGAGTTTTTGACTCCCAAGTACCTACGAATAAGTCCATACCACCTTATCTAAGGCCATGTTTTATCCTGACTTCACCTCTTGTTAACAGACTTTATTCTCAAGGTTTAAATGCATACAACAAATATCTAAATGCCTTTCATAGTACTTAACCTACTCTCTTACCTACCATTTTGATCTAGCAATCCGAAACGTCGAAGATCCAATGTAGAATTTTTGGATCTAAAAAACATTATTGAATCTCCACCTATGGATCTCGATGCTGATCAGAATATCAGAAAGTCAAAAAGACTTCATCGTGATTCTGTATGTCTATCAAAGTCAGAAAGTAAAGAGCCTTCAAAACCATCCAGAGCACCTCGAAGAAAGTCATTGAGATGCCCATTAAAGCAAGTAAGTGTTTTTAACATTTCAGCATATTACTTTGCTGTTATACATGTCTTGTTAAGCATCACTCATTTTCGACTCATAGGTTGAATATGATCCTGTTATAATCTCTTTCTTACGGTTATGACCCAGCTATTCCTATTGCTTAGTATTCTCGGACACGGATTCACCCGACAGGTCCCCAAATCAGAACACGGTTGAACAGGAAAGAGATTATATTCCAAATAACAAGGTTAGATGGAAGTAAGATGCATAATAGAGAAAACGTTAGTATATTTATAGTTTTTACATAAGAAAATTCTAGAGTATCCTCCAACTACCGACTAGTGCTGATAGGATAAGAATTAGCCAATCAGCGTGCGGCAAAACAATCGTGCATTGAGCATGCTTTAATCCAGTCTATGTCCCGCTAACAGATCCTATCTTCAATTTTCCTACTATATGATCCGTCTTGTTCCTACCATTTCAACGGTTTAAAATACTTTTGAAATACTACTAAATGTTGTCCAACAATCACTATTCTGATTGGCTGTATTTTGAACACCGTGAATTGAATGTGAATATGCTTGTAACAGTGATGAAGATGTAGCTTACTGGTGTGAAATTCGAGTGTAAGGTCATTGATAATACGTCCAAACATCTGCTCACTTTGGCTTGGGTAGCTACACGTATCTCTAACTATCCCACAAGATTTTAGTTCAGGGGTCAGTTGATCACACAAATTTGTCCGTAGTCATCGAGTTTTGATTTTTGCCTTAGTTTACAGCATTTTGACGTTAAAGTCGTAATAGAAAATAGACTCACCAAGCTGGTTGTGATAATTTTTCACTCTGAATTTGTTCCACGTACAACATCGGTGTAGTATCAAAAAAGGTTTGTCGAAGTAAAAATAAAACGATATTTACCCTTTAAAACTAGGACTTGGAACCCCACTAATAGTGCAAAATGTAATGGACCAAAACAATTTCCAGTCAAATCAAAAGTCCCAATTACTATGCCATTGTAAGTATTGTTAATGCTTACTTTTGTGTGAAAGCAGTCTCCGTTTATCTATTTTGGCTGATCAATGCATGTTGAAATTTTCAAATTTCTATGATTACCTTGTCTCCTTATCCTTATTCTGTTCTGTTGGCCGAAGTAATTCGTCTCATGTTGGGTTGGGTTAAGTTAGTTCCTGATATTTTTTATTCATTTTTGAGTACAATGGGTGTTCAGAACTTTATAAGGTCCCAACCAAATTTATCTGTTAGTGTTCATTCTTTACTCCAATTACTTCTTATGTAACCGATTCGTGATTTATTGCTTAGCTTGAAATATTTTATTTTTAGTTAAATTCGCATGATAGTACATCCACTAGTCCTACTCAACTAACTGTTCAAATGAAAAATGACCTACCATACATGGATGTTAGTTCTATCAATACTATTTCATTTGGTAATCTGTCAATTTCATCACCAAACAAGTCAGAAAATACTAAATTATCTGGTCCAAGTTCTTCATTTATTCCTGCATTCGTTTCAGATTTTTACCTCTCTAAAAGATATATTCCCCCTAAGCACAGAGGGTTAGCCACAGTAGTTGAAGATTCTGTTAAACGGAGTCAGCGACGTCCTAGATCGTACAAAAAGACCGAACTTTCTCCAATAAGACGACAAATATTTACAGGCCAAACTCTTGAGGAAGCTTGTGCCCCTACAGCTGCTGGTATTGCTCCGCTAGACCCAGAACTTGTGTTGTCAGCTACACGTAAGCGTGTTATCAGACGTCAAAGGCTTGCGAAAAAGTTAGGGTTTCGTGGCATTAGTATATCCAAGCAGACTGAAGAGAACTTTGCTAAATTTCTTTCACAATCAAATTTGAATTCTTCTCACAGTAGCTCAGCATCTATCTGAGATTAAATGCAATTGTCCTTCATATTAATCTCGTACTGCTTATTGATACCTACGTCTTTCAATTAAATATCAAAATTCAGACCCTCCTTGTTTTATGTAAATCTTTTATTTATATGACAGATATTTCCACCAGCGTTCACATAGAATCTTGCATACATGGTTTGCAAAAGCATCGTAAGAACTTCATATTTCATCCCTTTTATCTTGCATATGATATCGTGTCGTGTATACTTTTTGATTAAGTATGAAACCTGTTCAGATTTTTTACAACTTGTGTTTACAAAACGAATTTGACTTTTAACTCCCTTTAGATTTTGTTACAGCCCAAGATGTGGGGGATTTTATAAAACATCATTTACTCTGAATATAATCTTTTTAGTTCTTTTGAAACAAATATCCTCATATTTTTCAAAAACGTTTCTTTTGTAAAGTTGGGCTATGCTTCAAATACTGAGACACGTTGCATATCATTTTTATCAGTGAGCTTTTACCACAGATTTTAAATGTGACCATTAGCAAAATTTTAAATTTAAAAGAAATCAATTACGTGATTGGGTTTTAAGATTTTTTCAATATTGCTTGGTCGGCAGTTGGGTGCCCAAGTTTCCAAAAATTCCCGTTTTAATCGTACTTTCTTGTAACCTTACTAATTTTATAGAATAAATTGTGTGCACCAACAGTCCTGGAAGCATGTTTCGTCCTATCTAGGACCTGTCAGCTGCACCGATTCTCATCTCAATGTTGATTATTTTGGGACTTGAACCCAGTGTCCTTTGTTTCAGACGCTAATATGTTATGCACTAAGGTACTGAGTCAAGATTGTCACTTACATGTGTGCCGACAAAGACCAGTCAAAATACAGTCTTGATCATCTATAAAGTTACTAACTTCTGTCTGAGCCATATTGGTAGATGCAAACAACTTGGGTGTGGTCCGGGAGAGTATCGTAACCAGCGGTTGGAGGCCCTGGGTGGCATGGCTCAGAATCAATCACAGTGATACAGGTGCATACACTCTAAGTCTTCCCTTAAACTGTGAGATTAAAATTATTTATACACTTCTTTCTACTAATTATTTATTTGAACACATAAATATTGGTACAAAGGGGCGCCGAATACACATGCGCTACACAAGTCACTTGAATTGTGTGTAGGCTGTGATACTGCCCCGTTGCCCAAACCGAGGCAGGTGGTTTTTCCTAGGGGCCACACCCAGAGCCTTCGACTTAAAGGTCTGATCCAAAAAGCAGTGGAGCAACGTCAGGAGATGCAGTCTCATGGTGGCTGGTGGCCAACGATTGGTTCATACGTCATTTGTTCCTTCGGGACCTTGGAGTCCATGAACACCATTGGTTTGGGACCAGGGTTTCCCAACTCTTCGAGGTGGATCCTCCGTGTCCACCAACACGATTAAAGCGCAGGACACTCGCTTTCCGTCCTCTCAATTTCGTAAACAACACCGCCGCGAGATGGCAGTGAGTTGGACTTCCCTGGCAGTACCTGTATACGTGTGGCCATGGGAGAGCTGGCTCTCCACCCTCGGACATACCAAGGCATTTAGGGGCCTGAACTAATTCTTTGTCCAGGTATCATATCCTCATATGTAATCTTTTTCTATATATTACTATCATAGGAGTATGATTTAGGTGCTCATCGTGTTGTGCTAACAAGGTATGACAACGGACCGATACATATGTATGCCTGGTCCTACGTTGTAGAAGACTGACTTGCTTGGATTGTTGAATAAGGTGCTCAGATGAGTTTGCACTTTGTCAGCGTCTTCACCAAACAAAACTGTATAATCTGCATATTTTAAGTCAAAAAGTAGATCACCCGACCGTAGCTGCTACCTTGACGTGGTGGTCGGGCTTGCCTATCGTGATGAAGCAACCGAGCTATATTGGCTGGAACATATGTTACTGTAGGTACTACCATGCCAGGAAGGTCGACTAGAGAACGGTAAGACTAAGAGCAGCAACTCAAGGTCTGAGGGCAAAGTTGTGCCGCTGACTGTAGAGGGGTGTGACAACAGTAAGGTGTTTCCCTCGGACAACCAGCATCTGCAGCGATGCTGCCTTCCCACAAAGAGGGGTGGGGGTAGAAAAGGTTGACCCTAAAAATGTCACACCTCACCTTACCCCACGGATTTCCGTCTCCGGCGGTAAGGCCCTTTGAAAAACGGAGCTAACACATTAAAAACCTTCCACGAAAAGGCCGTGCGCGACCGGCCTCAAGCAGTTGTCCCCTGGGCTCTGTGGTCACGCTCACAGGTCGTTAAGGCCGACATTAATCAGACTTTTTTCAGGTTCCTCAAGAAATACCCTTCCACAGTGTGGGCAGCCGGAAAGTGACACCAGCCCTCATACCCGTGACAACACACGAGACCAAGTTGGTCACATTTATCTTGGAAGTCTGATCAGCCCTAATGGGTTGGTGTCTGACGAAATCTCAGCACGGATTCGAAAAGCTCGTTTGGCTTTTGCCAACTTGCGTCACCTTTGGCGAGGGCGAGATATCCGTCTATCAATAAAAGGACGAGTATACTGCGCGGCAGTCCGTTCTGTTTTACTTTACGGCAGCGAAACATGGCCATTAGGAGTAGAAGACACTCGTAAGCTATTAGTATTTGACCACAGATGCCTTAGAAATATTGCTGGCGTCTGCTGGGATCACCGGGTAAGTAATAGTGAGGTTAGACGCAGGGTATTAGGAAATGATGGTAAATCAGTTGATGAGGTTATGAATCTTCATGGACTGAGATGGTTGGGCCACGTGTTGTGTATGCCTGAACACCGATTACCACGACGTGCAATGCTAACCGGTGTTGGGGATGGTTGAAAGAAAGCGAGGGGCGGGCAAACCAAAACGTGGCATCAGTGCTTGAAGTCACTAACTTCTGGTCTGAGCCGTGTTGGTAGATGCAGACTACTTGGTTGGGGTCCGCGTGACTTTCGTAACCAATGGTTGGAGACTCTGGGTGATATGGCTCAGAATCGATCACAATGGCGTCGGTGTATACACTCCCTGTCTTCCCTTAAACTAAGAGATTAAAATCACTTCATATCTTTCTTTCTACGAACTAATTCTTTCTTCCTGTACTATATCCTTATTGCAATCTTCCTCTTATTTATTACCACCTTCGACCTAACCACTGCTATGAATCCGGTGTTCATCTTGTTGTGCTGATGCGGTATGGCAACCTGGGCCGATGCATACATGTGCCTGGTCCTACGTTGTAGCTGACTGACTGAGTCGTCGTGTTAGACAAGCCCGATCACCACATCAAGGTGGCAGCTACAATCGGGAGAAAACAGTAGGATGACGATCCATAGGAAATCCATTCTTAAATGTAGTTATAACTCAAGGAAGTCTTTTGACATGAAAGGTCTTAACGTGTGAACAGCTTGTTTAAGTAATCTTTATCATTATTTTGTTGGTGTATGCAGATAATTGGTGGAAAATCAATACATTAGAAGCCGTCCAGAAATAATGAATTCATCTAAAAACTAGTTTACCTTGGTTACTTTCTGTTGGGATGATTTTGGTTATACTTCCTTTTATAGTCTCTGAAGCTGTTTACACAGACCTTTAGTCGTTAATCGGGATGACATTTTTAATGTATTATCGAGAGGTGTCCAAAAACAAGGTATTGGAATAATAAAACTGGTAAGGCTCTAAAATTTCGAAGTTGTTTCAACTAGGATAACACATATCATTTTGTGCGGTAAGTTGTATATTGGTAACACTGAAATTCCCAGTAAGAGTCTGGTTCATGTGCCTTCATATCCTTAATCCGTAAAATTTTCGTCTACAAAACAGATTCATTAGCTGGACAATGTAGGTGACTGTGACGCCTGGGCTACCTCATTAAGGTACTTCCTTACTTTCTATTCATTTCCTTCGACTCTTTTTTTCTAGAAAATTTCGATAGTGTAATAAGACGAAGACCATCAGAACTAGTGATATACTAGCGCAATACATTTTGAACAATCGGATCACACATATACTTGTTAAGAACATCTATATATAGAAAGAAAAGGTCAACTAGACTAGAAATGGAGGGTAAGAGGAAACAAGGATAATGAAAAAATAATGTGAAAGAAATTTGAATCGTCATCACTCTGGATAATAATTTAATATTACTAGGGTGGGTTTAAGGTGAAAACAAACTGCATTTGAATACACAAAGGGGGTTTAGCACTCCGTTAGTCCTATTATTTTCAATAACCTGCTTTTCTAAGTGGTTTCCTCTTGATGTAACGTCGGTTGTGAGTAATTGAAGCAATAAACAACTGTAACAGATCCAACGTTTATCTGTTGCATATTACGAAAGTAGTTATTTATCTCGACAACTACCGTCACTGACTGTCGCTTGTAATATTGGTATGAAATATGTAGTGGAAATATAAAATCATGATACAGTTAGTAGAAATGGTTACTTCGGGACCTATATCTCCATCATCGATTGACCGTTTGTTAAATGGAAGGCACACTATTTTAGTTAGGTATTTCGTGAAAAAAGAACAATTTGAATCCCCTTATATTAGTTCAATTACTTGGCTAGTGATACTGTATTCTAAAATATGCGCGTTTGTTATTTAAAGATTGATTCTATGAGCGAAGCATCATTTTGATCACTTTGTGTGATCCTATCGTGTGTTTTTTAATTCAGTCGTCTCATCATCAGTAAGAGGATAACTAGATTGTGATTACGATTAAGTGAAATGCCAGAATAACTACTTTTTACATTTAGAAAACAAAGTATATTAATATGCATATATATACAACTTCACTGATCTTCACTATCCATTGGTTCTGAAAATACACCTAGTTCCTGCTCTAGTTCTGATATGGCTTGCTCGATTTCATAGTTTTTGCCAACCAAACCGACCCACGATTCTTCTAATTCCTTGAGATGTCTTCCAGCAGCTGTTTGCTCTTGTTTACGGCGCCAGTTTATTTCCTGGATTTTTCGCCTTTTAAAACGTAAAACAAACTAAATGAATCAAGAAGAATTGAAAAATCTTCGAGCTAACATTTTGAGTAACAACTTACTGGACGAACGTAAACTTGCCAAGTGTATAACTTCAATGAAAATTAAGAAACCACGATGTGAACAACTTTACTGTAACGAAGGTTCAAGAGTTGCTTCTTAATACTGAATGAATAATGTCTTGTGCTCACATGATAAGCACTCTCAGAGACGGGAACATTCTATTTTGGATAATTAGAGATTGGTAAAGGTTGATCCTATAAACTGAATATTTTTAACCACTTGTTCATGGAACCAAAATTCTAAAAAATACACATATGTTCTGACTCATATTATTGGGATTTTTAATACTGCAGGGAAGACGAAACTTTTACTCCACTAAGATATCTGAGATAGTGTGTGACCAACATCAAAAATGGATACTTTTTAAACTATGTAGTCACGCTCTTTTGGAGTTTTTGAAAGTACAATAACCCCCGCAGTGCATTCAGGTGGGAAAAGGATCACAAACCTTCATAAAGACACTGATGGTTCCCTCCCACTACTAACTTTTGAAATTGTCATCTTCGCTTCCGTCGTAACTTCTGCTACCAAAAAATATCGTCTTCCCAACTTCTCACCCAGCGTTAATGATACGAACCTAGGAATTAGCATCCCAAGTCTCTTTAACTAGTTTAAAGCCTTCGATGTCATAGGTTCCTGTAGAGTAGAACAGTATCTTCTACTGTATTCTCGAGCAATAAAACCATATTGTTTTTAAAATACAGAGAAGATTGGAGTGCATCTCCTTTGACCTAAAACACTTAATATATATATACATAAAAACTGATATAACTTGTGTCAATACAATTCTGTAGATGTAAATGTTAAAATATTATCAGGTTCCAGGGTGCATCTTTACCTAAATCCAGTTGATAACTATCGGTGGCTTTTTAGCAAGAAACCGTAACATTGTGAGATCGACATGTTATCCCAGTTTGCAGACCGACGGGGAACATCTTAAGCGATATCAGGCGGATTTTTATCAAAATATATGAAACTTATTGTAAGAACACAAGTTTGGCTTTAGTAAAAAGAAACTAATGCACGATTAAAATGCCTAAGCAGAGACTGATATTCTGGAGGGACATCAGTCAGTCACAACGTAGAACCTGTACGTACATACATCGGTTCGAGTTACCGTAACCCATTAGCACAGAGAGATATTGTTAGGTCAAATCGTGGAATAGTAGAGGTAGTCACAGTATCAGTAATAGGAAAGATTAGGCATCGGAGATACACTTCGGAAAGAAAATATAAATTAGTGAAATAAAAACAAAGCTGTGGAAAATTCAGGAGAAGACAAAGAATGGACGCATCTGCGCCAGTGAAAACGATTTTTAACCATGACGTTTAAAGTCTCTAGCCACTGGTTGCGATAATCACGCACACCCCAACCAGGTAGCCTATACCCTTTAGTATGGTTAAGTCCAATTGTCAGTGACTTCGCAGACTGATGTCATGTTATAGTTTGGTCCCCCTATCTTTTTCCAGCCTGTACTGGAAAACAATGCCCATCGAGGTGGGAAGTAGGCTGGCATACGTAAAACATCCTAATTACCTCAGTTTATGAGGATTTACTACCCCAGTCGATTTCCTATCTTTACGTATTGCTCGAACTCAGACATTGCTTACTCCATGGTCCCAAGATAAACAAGCAAGAATTCGTAGACGCCTATGATCGAATGCCAGTAACCTGTGAATATTCTCTATCATCAATGACCATGTTTCACATCCATAAAGTAGAACGGAGCTAACTGCTGCAAAATAAACTCCTTTGGTTGAGAGATGGATATCTCGCCTGCGCCACTAGTTGGCAAAAGCTAATCGAGCCCTTTTAATCCATTTTGAGATTTCGTCATACACCAGTACCGACGAAACTCCTAAGATAATTGAAGCAGTCGATATGTCTAACTACTTCACTCCCTATCACTAATTAGGATGATGACGCAAGTCAATCCTGAAGTAACGTTTTGTATTTGATGGGAGAAAACGGCATCCCAAACAATGCTTGGATTAGTGCTTAAGGTGATCAGATGATTTTACACTTTATCAGCATTTCCATCGAACAGAACTATATCATTTGCACATTTTAAGTCAACAAGTGAATCCCCTGGTAGAAGATCAATCCCTGAAAATCCAGAGGATAATTGTTATCTCTAAAACCATGTCTATGACAAAGTTAAATAGAAATGGGAAGGAATCCTGTACAAACGAACAAATCAACGTGTCTAGACAATAGCCCGCTTTTGACCAACATTAAAATTAGGAGGATACCCGAAAAGAAAACGTTTATTGAGTTATAAGCCCGACCGATGATCTGTCGGTCAAGTCTAACCATTCACCAAAGTTTTTGAATAAAAACATTCCGTAGCTTCCTATGGTGGCTGTAATTGTTGACATGAGACCAGTGCTAGAAGTATACTAATCATACTTCTGAAAGCATTCTACTGGAGTACAGGCAGTCATGCGAGGACATATGGGGAATCTTCTCCTGATGAGTACTTCAGATAATACTGCCGGGCGCCATCAGTTTCGGCTTCTTTATAAATATACTGACGAATTCAGCCCTGGTTAGCTCTAACTTTACGGAGACTAATAAACTGACATTACTTGGTCAACCTATAATAATTTTAGATGCAGACATAAATCTTAAAATTTTCTCAGCTCTCCGTACCTGTCTAAAATTATGCTTTAGGCTGATATGAACGAAAATATTTTTAGGATTAATGAACGAAATCTTTGGGTGCGAAAACAACATAATCTACCAAGGGTATTACAGAAGCCCTCATATTAGTGACTCGCGGGTTCACAAGGTTTGAAAGAGCTTTTGTCAACCTGAGTTACATACATATGTTAAGGCATCTGCATCCCAACCAGTAGGGTGGAAAAGTGTAAAACAGACTACCCAAATCCAAGACAGTGGGACAAGGCGGATGTATTTGTGCATTATGGAACGTTGGTAACCAACGTTAAGATAACGTATACTGCTATCAAATAGAATGATGTTAGTCACACCTCGACATAAGCTCAGCCACTGACTAATTTAGAGTTGGAAACAAACTAACGAAAGCAGGGATAGGGCATGGAATTAGTGAAAGGGATTGATTTTTTAGTGTGAGTAGTGACTTCGACATTTTACGAGTTTTGTTTACAAAGTGAATACATGTTAATTGAGCTTGGCCCATTAGTTCAAAAACTTTATTTTCAAGCAGAAAGTGGTGGGCTCACATACAGGAAGCTAAATAATACCATTAATCCTCATAAAATAAACATTTCATAACCAAAAGGGTAGCCCTGGTCATGATTGCTGGGTTTTTTACGAACTTGTTTCTCAAGACTTGACCACAAGAGACAAAATAGGGGACCTCTGCCAACTACCTCATATCGGCATCAGACACAGGCATTTGCACAGCAATAAAGAGCTACATCAAATTTTGTCTGCAGGGCGAAATTACCATCTGTTTATTTAACCTTTTTATTAAGTATCTAATTCTTACTCGCTTCCTATATGTTGTGTTAAAGAGATGGATTTGGAAACGGTGCATATATATAATTAGCTGTCGAAGACCAGCAAGCTGGGTTTAGTCATGGAGAATCACAAACTACCTTATTTCTAAGAGTTCCTTCTCGTAAATTTGCAGAGAGCTTTCCAAAACATTATTGTATTGCTTCCAAGCATTACATCCATAATCTGCCATTAGTTCTAAATTCTCAATTCTTGTTGCTTGGTGTTCTAACTGTGCCTATTTGAGAAACAAATTAGGTATAAAGACATCGTACTTCAGCGTTCTCCATTGCGTCTTGCCATGCTTTCACATCGGTCATTTTTCCAGCCGGGGGTGGGGGTAGCTCGTAACGTTTCATACTTAGCATTTCCATAGGCAAACGATTTGAGAGCCTGTCAAATTCAGCTTTCATCACCTCAGTCTCAAATTTCATTTGAATAGGACCAGATAAAGAAGGGAGATGTTCCAGATAATTTTTCGTTGGTCTATATCGTTTCATCTCCTCTTCGACGAGAAGAGCTGCAGCTTCTCTAATCCCAGGATCATCGTATCCTTTGTCGAAGTACGGGAGAGCATCAACAACTCCAATGTGTTCAGACGTCATTGTACGCTAAGCTAATTAAGGAAAAGTCAAAACAGAATTAGTAATAAACCTCGGAATTTAAGTTCGTTATCTTGATATATCAGCGTCCGTAGATCGATATGAAAAGCAAAGAGTTCAGTATTTCATTTAGAACAGAATATTTATACATTAATAATAATATTGTCACACTTGTACATTCAAAAATGATGTCTTAATATATATACATAGGACATTATATTCATGAGAAATACCGTCGATAAGGATAAACAATGATTTTAAAGTAAGTCACTAGGTGGAAAAGTGTATAAGGGGAAGAAACTATTAGTCAACAATACTATAAGCAAGTGCTTTCAAGACTATCACGTTGGACCAACTCCAGACAGACGTCTTTCGAGTTAGAGACACATTTTAGTTTTATTTTGTAGATAACTCGGTTGGAAACAAAATTTTAAAGCTCTTTTTTTATTGTTCATTACCACTGTTTTATCACTTCCCTCTTGTAACTATTAATTGTTAATGTTGCCCTTGACTTTCTCGGCAGCTATATCCGGCCTTACATTTGTGATATGATACTGAACTCCAAACTACTAGTCACATTTTGCGACGTTGATATATTTTATCAAGCCGGACAACATGGATTATTAGTTAAGATGACAAAATACTTGGGCAGGTATTTGTGTTGCGTTTCCAATGTATGAATGTGACGCTATATTGTGGGTACCAACTTGTTTTTAACGGATAAGTGTAGAAAGATTTCACATACATCAAAAATTAGATAGACATACGTACTATGCAAGTAAGTTAAAACTAGTCATACTAGATTTGATGCGCCGAGTTGTGGAATTAGGTTCGACCAAGAAAGAACCACTATATTCAGCTTTTGTTCTTCTCGAAAATCTGTTTTCACTAGACTGAACGTAATCGTCATTTTGCTAGTTTAAGTTATAGCACTTAAATTGACATCAATGTTCAGACTACTTTAGCGAAGTCTTCTCTACGTTTATTGTAACAAATACTTGTCCCACTCACACCGAGATACCAACCATTGAATCTGTACAGGTGACTGAGGAAACTGTCCTTCCGTTGATAACTAACCTCAAACCTGGTAAGATACCGGGCCCTGACGGGTTACATCCACGGTTGCTGTCATCTCTTGCGGACATTATTTCAAAACCGCTTGCGACACTCTTCAACATGTCCCTCTCACTCGCCAACTCCCTAGAGATTGGAAGGACGCTATAGTTAGTCCTATATTTAAGGACGGTCAGCGACAGATAGTATCTAACTACCGGCCTGTCAGTCTAACTAGCATAGTCGTTAAGTTACTCGAAAAGATAATTCGGGTTAGGTTGCTAAGCCACATAGATTTACACAATCTGTTAGCTCCTGAGCAACACGGATTTCGTAACAAGCGTTCATGCTTGACTAACTTGCTTATTGCGAGGGAGGATTGGACAGCAGCCCTAGATCACGGTCTGTCTGTCGACGTGATATTCATAGATTTTAGCAAAGCGTTTGACAAGGTTTCACACGTAGGTCTTATGCAGAAGCTCACGAGCTTCGGAATAATAGGTACTGTACATGAGTGGATAGGAAATTTCTTATGTGACCGCAGACAGAGAGTTAGGGTCAATGGAACGCTATCCGATTGGAAGCCGGTCAAAAGTGGTGTACCCCAAGGCACCATCTTAGGCCCTCTGCTCTTCCTTCTCTACGTTAATGAGTTACCACTGTTACTTAGGTCGTCGACATTATTGTTTGCAGATGATGTAAAAATCTGGAGAACAATAAAAAGTGCGGCTGATCATGTGGATCTTCAAGCTGATTTAGACGATTTAGTTAGATGGGCTCGAGAGTGGGGCTTAGAAATCAATGCTAGGAAGAGTGTACTAATGCACGTCGGTCACGGTAATAGTTACCGTTACACTATTGAGGGTAAACCTCTTCCATGCGTTCAAGAGCATAAGGACTTAGGAGTAATATTAAGTCATGACTTAAAAACAACTGCGCATTGCAAAGCAGCCGCTGTCAAAGGTTTTCGTGCGTTATGGTCACTTCGCCGAGCGTTCAAATCTTTTGACGAGGAAACGTTTCGAATTTTATATCCCATTTTTTTTTTTTCATTTAGAGTACTGTATCCAAGCAGCTAGCCCGTGTCTAGTAAAGGATACTAACTCCCTTGAGCGTGTCCAGCGTGTGGGAACGAAATTAGTGAAGGGTCTTTCTAGACTCCCTTACGATGAGCGCTTAAAACGCCTAAATCTTTTCCCCTTGTCGTATCGTAGGACACGAGGTGACCTTATACTGGCATTTCGTATCTTTAATTATGATTTGGGTGTTAATATGTCTTATCTTTTTGCTCCCTCCAGCACTAATAATCTCCGAGGTCATAGCAAGAAGGTTCATAAACCACGATCTAATAAACTTAAAGTGGGATCCCGTTTTTCTCATCGAGTAGTCAATCATTGGAACGCCTTACCCGAACAAGTGGTATCAGCCCCATCAGTGAATACTTTCAAGGAAAAGCTGGACCTTCACTGGAAAGCAATGTGTCAGGATTAACACAGGTTCATCAACCTACTATCCTTATTACTGAAGACTGAAGTTACTACCGGAAAAACAAACGCACCGACGGGATGATGCTTTTGAGGTTGAATAAGGGCTCTGTATAATAATGAGGGATTGGAAGCTACATATTATTGTCGAGAAACGAATGCCAGAACCTTCCCGAATTTAGCGACGATATAGACTTTACTCCATTGTCTTACTTATACTGAATGCAAAGTATGTAACTAGGATTCACAAGACTAAATATAGTCTAACCTATAGGGTAGCCCATTGTGATTAACGCGATTTTAGTAGAACCAGTACTATCCAAAGACAGTGTCAAAACAAGCTGTTAGATACAGCAATACGAATATTTCAGAGGTTTGCTGAAATATCAAAAAAATAAACGTTAAGTGAAGGCCATAATTACCATTTATCAGTGAATACAAAAATTCGAAACCAAGGACCAATATCTACGTTGACACCTCATCTCAATGTGCCACAGAATTATTTATGCCCAAGTAACCAAGAATAAGAAAGCGTTAACTTATGAGGAAATTCGAATTGTTATAGCCAGATTAGTTCCAGTCAGTTGGTTCGATATCATCACCTGTCTATAAGCGGGTAAACAGCATAAAAATAACAAAAGTAGGACACTGAAGTGGACGTCTGAACACCAAAAACTAACCAAAGGTCATACACCAACTTTTGTAACGCCTTTGTCAAAAGTAGAGCAACACGCAATCGTTCTTGCAGTCCAACATCAGTTTCAGTTCGGAAAGGACAGGAGGCTTGATGGCCCTTGTTAGTCCTGGCAATGATGGTCTCTCAGTCAATTCAACTTTCTTTGAAAGAATCGACAGATGGAGTCTCAACCACGTGCTGACGTAATGAATTCCACTCGTTGATGATTCGATGGGAAAGTCGATGGTCAACTGACAAGTAATTTGTTCCGGGCTCGTCAACTTTTTTGGAGTGTCCTCGTAAAATTTCTGTTTTGGAGGACAAGAAAAACCAGGGCATGTCAGGCGCAATATTATAACTAAGTAGTTTGAATACTGCAATTAGATCACCTCTAGTTCTTCTATATGACAACGAAAATATGTTTAGTTTAGACAATCAAATAGTCGAGCATAATACGGGAGTATCGCTTTTCCGGGAATCAGCTTAGTTACTGTTTTCTGAACCTTTTCCAAAAACTCACTGTCTTTTTTAAACAGGGACTAGCCGTTTGTATGTAGTACTCAAATTTAGGACGCACTAACACTGTATACAAAGTCAAAAATGTTTTAGCATCGATGTGACTAAAGGCCCTACGTATTGACCACAAAGTGTCAAAACTTTTGGCAGCTATGGCATGGCAGTGTGCAGTGCTTTTTAAGTCTTGGCTAACGATGACTCCTAAGCCATTGTGTGTCTGGACAACGGGTAACTCAACGTTATTCACTGTGTATGTATCTATACCTCGTTGACTAATGTACACCACAATACACTTGGAAGTATTTATCAGCAACTGCAAAATTTTAGACCATTCTGATAATTTTTCCAAGTCATTTGAGGCACCAAACTATCATCTTTACTTTTAATGCCGCTCTAGATATCTTGACATGGTCAGCATATAGTAAGATAAGAGACGAGAAAGGTCATTTTCATGCAAGAGGAACAACACCAGCCCCAAAACTGTACCCTGAGGCAATCCGCTAAGCACAGTTTCCCAGCTAAACAACTTTGACTTCACCCGTACTATTTGTTGGCGCCCAACTAAGAAGTTTTTTATCCACATCAATAGATTGCCTACAACCCCGACATTTCTTAACTTATATAACAGCCGATTGTGTGGAACTTTGTCAAAAGCTCTGCTGCAGTCAGTGTAGGCTACGTCTACAGGTAACATCTGGTCCCTAAGAGCGCACCGGCTTTCACGAGCGACTAATAAGTTAGTGAGACAGGAATAACTTATTCTGAAATCATGCTGTTTCTCTGAAAGGATCCGGTTTTCATCGACGTACTTAAACAGCTCCTTTCGAATGATCTTTTCTAAGATTTTAACAACCATGCTAGATAGGTCAACAGGTCAGTAGCTCTCAAGTCTATGTTTCGAACCTGTTTTGAAGACGGAACTTACTATGGAGTTGTTGCAGTCTCTTGGCAATCCATCCTGGGTTACGGATAGATTAAAACAAATACTTAGCGGATTCTCAACGAAGTTAGCTAATTCCTCCAGTAACCTTGGATGTAGTTCATCAAGTCTCGTGGATTTGCTTATATCAAGATTATTTAGCAGACCAGAGTCATCGATTTCTTTAATGGTCACGCTGTCCAGTGTTTGTGTGGGTGCATTCGTTTGGACTGACGGAAAGGGTGATTCTACGGTATTCACACATATGTAATAGTTTGAGAATACATGCGCCTTACCATAATCGTCCTCCACTAGTGACGCGGCAGTACTGCCTCCCCATGGAGCAGGACATTCTATGGATTCCTTAACAATCTTTTCTTCGTACAACCTTCTAGAATTACCTAAGGTCACGGCACATGTATTTTGAGCCTCTTCTCCTCCAAAGAAAGATGGTGCGAACTTTCATACTGAACAGTGGCAGAGTTTCTCATACCCCTTGGTGTAGCCCAACGGATGTGGTGCGGTAAGTTTTATGTATAAATTTCGAAATACATCACAAGCTGTTTCGATTGGGCACCCTGGCTCGATTGTTCAAACCAATGACGATGCTGAGTGCATATTATCTTTTGTATTTGCTTTCCAGACGTTAAGTTTGGGTTGAGCTGACGCGTGCTCACTTTTGACAACTACATGAAAGCCAAACTTTAGAACTGCTTGATCGCTTTTACTTAGGGGTGGCATTATTGTCATAATAGGTCAATATAAGATCTGGTAAACATGATTCAGAGTCCGGGTTGTACATAATTGCTACGTAAATTTAGTGTGATCAAAGTTGTTTTCTTTGTGCTTCCATATTGAAGTTGTATAGATGTTTAATACGTCTGGCGTTATCATTTTCTTAGCTTAACCCCAGAAAGTTCGTCAAGTATGCAGTAAGTAATATTTCCCTAAATAAATGGTTTTATAAGCACTCAAATCTGATGCTGACCTCATTACAACCAATAGGCATTACCAGCAGAAGGCAGTCATTCTCGATCATTAGAATACTGAACTGGTAATTCAGGCGTTTATCAACCAGTATACAAGCCGAATTCCATTTTTACAGCGCTTCACACACCTTTAAATGGTAATCCCGTTCATTATCAATGTACTCTAAAATTTTAAAGAATATTGTATTGTTGATAAAATTGGGGGAACTAGATGCTCCATACAATTGTATCCCTCTATGTATTTTAGTGAGGTCAAAATAACATTTGAGGCAAAACAATATAAGTCTATATATTTGGTAATTCATAGTCAGCTGCGCATAGCCATATCCGTGTAATATTTAGATATGAAGTAGCAGACGCTGGTGAGGAACATAATTATATGGTGGACAACACATTCAGGCTGAAGATAGGACAATATGTATTGAATGAGTAAAAATAATTTGTACAGAGCGACCACGTCTGCGAAGCTGAACCATGCCATCCGATCAATTCTAATTCCTTCCGTTCATCGTTCCCGCCTTCTCCATCGTTAGGTTTTTCTTCGCGTTAAATGTTGAATATCTATCTTCCCAGTTGACTCATGTTCAGCTTTGAGGATTATGTGGTTAAGGCCAAATGCCACCATACTACTCTCCCATCAGAATCAGTGTGACGTTGGTTCCATACAAAATTGATTGGGATTGTAGCGCGCCGGAGGTTACCAAAAATAATCAGAGTCCTCCAGTTTTTGACAAGCTGGAATATATATAAAGCATCTGATGGGGAAATACATGTAATAAGTTTAAAATATCCGCTTTTGTGCTTAACACGCTTTAAATGAAAATTTGGGTGAATATTACTTGGGAATTGTAATAATACTAATTTGATTCCATGTAGGGATTTCTTAATAGGTCGCCGTAAGATGCATGATAACAGCCGTTGGTTAATAGCTTAACTTACAGGTACTACATAGTTTAGGTTTAGAAATATTAAAAACAATCACTATTGTAGAAATGTTACTATTGGTATTGTTTTTTTGGTTTAAATTATGAAGTCACATAACGTTTACGCGTGTTACCTGTCCATATGAGTTGATTTCCGATTGTATCTGCATTAGTAGGCTAACTGAAAGAACGACAGTATTATCTTGGAAAAGAATTCCAACTAGTGTTCCAGTTAGTTTGATACGGTTTATTTAGTTACGGGGAGATTTTCTCGACCTCATCTTTACTCCACCGTGATAGAATTTAGTAATACTACTAATACATATGCATGATTATTAAAAAACGTTTTTTAGTACGTGAAAATTAGTAATTATGTGAATTTTGAACGGATAGCTAAGAGCAACTCGCTAGACATGAATGCGTCTGCAAGACATGCTCTAGACTCAATGCTCTGATTATCCATAAACTATTTATTTATATTTATACCTACCGGCTGATGCTGCATACAAGTTAGTTGCAAATATGCGGTTAGCATTAGGCAGAATACGATTCAATTGAGATATAGTGATTATAAGTTTTTGGAATCAACTAAGCTTATGTGCTGCAATTATAGGTGACTTTGTGCCGCAAGATTTCTTCGGCTAAATAAGTCTTTAAAAGATGACTAACAGTGAGTGTTTCGTGCCTTAAGGTAAACCTCGTGCTATTGATAGAAGAAACCAGACAAATAGTGAATAGGTCTTTATTTCGCGCAGTCACAGTGGAGCGTGGGGTTATTTATTCAGACAAACAAAGCCTCTCAACATTCAATATAAGATAATGGGGAATATAACACCTATACAAAATAAGGAAGTGAGTAAATACTTGAACTATACTTTTTTGGCATATGCTTGGTTGTTTGGGGTCAACTCTTTACCAACCAACCTAAGCTGTTACAAATGATGCTCATGTGATTATCAGGGTGAACATAAGTTTTAGCCTTGGGTAGTACACTCACAACTCATGTCTATGATAATGGTTTGAACCTTAGTCAGTTTGAGGTAAATTCGACAGTATTTTGCATGCATGACTTTGTTGCTTAAACTTCAGTTAGACTGATAGCGTTTTGAGATATTTACTGAAAGAGCAACCGATGGAGAATCACACTCCAGTCATCTGTAGTGGGTGGAGATAACGAGAAAATAACACTATATAATGATCATTACAAGTCAATTTGTTGACCGTTATTATCATATTACGTGATCGTCAAATCACGACAATGGTTTATGATGATATTCTGAGACCATCATGCCTAAATAGTTATAGTGTTGATTGAGGATTAGCCTGTGGAAAATAGTTATTGTTACTTTAGAGTATTGAAAATTATCAGAAATTCGTATCGTTAACGAATTCGAGCTGCCTGATTATATTACTAATTGCGATTTAAAAATATTCGTATACATATTGTTAATTTTAATAGTAATCTCCGGTATTTTAATTTTAAATGTTTGTTTAGCCAACAACTGCCTGATAGTTTAGTTATTATACTAGTGCAGTATGACAGTACCTAAATTTGTAACTTTGTTATTTAGACTGCGTTCATCTTTTTAAGTTACTAATATGATAGATCAATTCATAATCTCAAATACGTATAGCAATAACGACTATGATGAGTTTATTGAAAAATGTTAAAGGCGATTC